ATACAATTTATATGTGCCCCCCCCCCCTCAAAATATCGAAGATCTGCTATTATGATATAGGGGTATATCGTATATACAGCTGTGAAGACTGAGTATTGAAGTAAAATAACGCGTACGAAATCGTGTTTAAGCTTATCAACTTATAATGTACGTACCTAAAATTCGATAAACACAAGTATAAAAATATGTTGGATATAGATATTATATAAGATTTTATGAAGTTGACGTAGATGAAATTGATATAGAAGTGGAATACCGTTCATTACATCTAGTTTACCAACAAATGGCAAAACTATTGAAACTGGAGTAACTGGACCTTTAAAATTAAATGATGTATTGAATATTTATGATATCACGAGACATGGTTTCTTCATATCCAAATTTATATACTTTGTATAACATTTTTTATACACTACCAGTCAGCAGTGCAACTGCAGAAAGAAGTTTTAGCGTTCTAAAACTTCTCAAAACATGCCTTAGCTCAACTATGACTGAAGACCGGCTATCAAATTTGGCCATATTGAGCATAGAAAGCAACATAGCTCAAACCATTGATTTTGTTAACGTAATAAGTACATAATTCGCACTAATGAAAAAGCGCAGAAAATGATTGTAATGTTCTAGTTCTTTACTATTATTTTCACGTAGGTATTATTAAATATAAATTTTATTAATGTATTATTTTTGACTTTTCTAATGTATTAGAATTTAGAACTACCTATTCTATATCTCTTGTAAAAATGAAATCAGTCATTGAAAACTAAAATAAAATAAATATACTGCAAATATACTTATACAAATAAAATAATAAATTTGTAAAATTTCTTCTAATGATTTAAATATGTCAGGTAAATTTTTTAATTGAATATACATTTTAATGCAACAAATAAAAATAAAAATAAATTAAATATAGCTATTAAAGCTTGTAAGTAAATTTTACAATTTACTTAAAAATATGTGATATAGTTATATTGAACGTTGGTATCAAAATGTGATGTAAACAACTAATAAGGTAAATCGCGAGCCCAGAGTGACTTTGTAATACCTAACTATATAGGTAGTTGGTTAACGTTTCTACACAGTGGCCTCTCGTAGTCTCGTAAGTAAGGCAGACCCACAGTTCTAAAATCCTGGGTACGCCACTGCCTACAAGGTTTTTTTTCACCTTTAAACATTTAATATTTTATTTTATATATTCTTTATAATAAGTAAATTAAATATTAATACTATATTATATATAGTCGTATACGTCATATTTTATATTTATCTTTTCTTTTATTATAATAATAAGTTAAAACTATTGATTTAAACTACTCAAAAAAAAAGAAATTAATTTGTATAATTTTATTCTTAATAGTAAGAAAATTAAAACTATATTATAATAATATAGGTACAAAGTAGTTTTTATATGTCATATTTATCCAAGATTTGAAAATGTAATACAAAGTTACTTATGAGTTGTCTACTTTTAGTACCTAAGTCAAATTAAATTTTTATGAGAGTTTGAAGTTTTTATTTTTACAACATTTGATATTCACTCGATTTCTCATGTAACGATAAATAATCTATAAATCTCAATAAAATGAAAAAATTATAGACTCCTCCTGATATATTATTGTTACAATAGCAGATGAAAAATATTAAAAATGCGTAGGCACGTTAACTGAACGTATTTTATAATCATTTAAAGTTAAAATTGTTAAAATTGTTAATGTTCAAAGTTTACAAATTGTAGTTAAAAATGTTCAACTTTTATAGCTTAGGATTAAAAATTTAAAACAAAGTTCCACGTAAATAGGTTAAATATACCTATAAATTACTTTATTCAAAATAATATCATTAAATAAACTTGGTCAGTCAGCCTATGATATATTATTGATATTACTAAGTATATTTGATATTATTGTGAATAAAGTAATTTATCTCTTGGCTCAGTTATTTTTCTTATACAATGATATTATATCATTGAATTCAAATTTAACACAATCCATTTCAGTGACCCACTTGTAACATACTGTACAGCAGAGCGACACCCACTTGCCCACCTTTTTTAGTTTTGATTTTACAATTTTTACTATAGTCAATTTTTTTATACCTTGTTACCCTTATGTGAAGGGTACCCTCTTGTTAGAATAAGATTTAAAGCCCAAATTAAAATCAAGGTTGACTTTTCAATGGATTTAATATTTTGTTTTTAATAATTCCTACTATAATTAATTGTTTTATATTGTGTCTTTTTATTTTATTATAACACCTAACCTATCATTGTATACCCATATATAAAGGTCGAAAACACTGCATATTCAGATCAGATGTACTCAGTGCTTGATTTGGGGGGGGGACGGAGTCCCCCTTCTTTTTAAATTTTTTTTTAGCGTACCCCTTCTATTTATTTGAAACGGAACGCTGCGAACGCAACATTTATTATAGGGAATTTGTAAATCATCAGTTTTTCTGATGCAAAATATATCCATAACCTATATCTATAATATTTGTACATTTGAATCGACTATGAAAAAAAAAGATTGTTAAATTGCTTAAGATTGTTAAAATTCAATTTTCTATGGCTTTTCGGTTTTGGTGTATAAAACTACCTATAATAGAAGTGTTCATATTTTATCGGTCTTCATAGGACATACAGCGCTCCCGGTGGCGATGGCTGTCTGTGGTAAAATGTTCAATCAAGTTTTCAAACAAGTGACGACACCTTATCAATACACTTTGATAATAGAATTCTTCTATTATCTATGACGTCGTTGATTGCAGGCCGGTGAAAAATCAACTGTCACTCTTCTGTCATTTTAAAGTCTTAAAGTATTTTGATTTGTCAATTGTCATCAAAAAATTCATACCAGTTTACCAGAAATTGAAAATGGAATTAAAAAGAAAAAGTACAGTAGGTGGATAAAAAGTGGAAAAATAAATTCTGATGAAGTAAACTGTCCTAAACGATCTTCTAAACATGAAGATAGTTCATATGAAAACTTATAGACCTTATTTAAGTAGTTTCTTTTTTTCTTTTTTTTTGTAGAATAATTAATTAATAAATAATAATGTTACATTTAATGTTTAAAAAAAAAAATAAGGTATAAACGAGTATTTTTTTTCTTTTAAAATATTTTTGTATAATACATTTAATGATTTTTTGGGAATATGGGTGGCTGAAGGGGGGTGTGGGGGGCTTTGCCCCCCACGGTAATGTGATGGTTAATTTTGTGCGGAACGCTCATTCATCAAACATCCTCAGAGTCCCCCTTCTAGTTTTTTTCCAAATCAAGCACTGGATGTACTTACCTATTCAGGTACTACCTACCTGTTTATTATACAACTGGTAAATTAGATTGATTCATTATCAATATATTATTTTCTTGTGAAATGTGAATTACCTATCGAAAGTGCTACCCAATTGAAAATATCGTTATTTATACAAATATTATTTATTAAATTATATTATATACATTTTACTATTGGGAATTTAAAATTTAATATTAATACCATACATGGGAAAGTATAAATTAAATTGGTAGGACGTAGGTACTAGGTAGGTACCTACTACTAGGGCACTATAGATACTGCAGATTATATGTAAAGACTTAGTACCATCAACGTTGTTTAATTATCTTTAATTAGTCTTTAATATAAAACATAAAACAGTTAGTTATATTTTAATATAATATTAAATTAACCTGCAATTATACAATAACATTAAGAGTTCGTCGCACACGCATATTATGTTGTCTGTCTTACACACGAAAATGTTAGTTCGCTAGTTTCAATAGGGCACTGTCAATTTTGATATTAAAATAAATTTACCTATTATAAAACTTTTAAGTTACAACATTATCTGTGTTCTCTCGTTTGTTTTTTACGATATTTTAATTCTCAAGTGAGTTATGAGCATTTTCAAATATTAATATTTTACACTCATAACTCACTTAAAAATTAAAATATCGTAAAAAACCAAAGAGAGAACACAGATAATGTTGACGCGTTGTTACTTTTAAGTTTGATAATAGGTCAATTCACTCTAATGAAACCCCATTGAAACTAGCGAACGAAAATTTGCTACGCCGTACGTGGGTAATGGTCCTCTCACACTGCAGCGGTAGCAGTGGCGGTGGAGGTTACGACAAAATGAGTCCGGATCATAGATAATAAAGATTTATTTTATTTTATTTATTATCTACTATCTATGGTCCGGACATAATTTTACCGGCACCTCCAAGACAAAAGAATTTTACCGCCACCGCTGCAGTGTATGGCGGAGGCAACTTATTATGTGGATGAAGTATGAACACATGATACTTTGGTTATGATTAATATTAATTATTATAAATATAATTATTTAAAATATTATCATAATTTAATTTTCGGTCGTTTATTCGTACAATATAGGCACAAAATAGTGTGACGTCAAATTGTCTATTGATAAGACCGACGGTTCAAAACAAGCTGTTATCACGGTTCATTCCATAAGAAATACATGGGTCGAAAAACATGCTTGAAAAAAATTGGTTTTAAGTGCATTTGTATATTTTTCTTAAAGTTCTAACTATTAAAAACATGTTCTTTACAAGTTTATACATATATACCGACCAAAAATATGAAGCTAAACGCTCTTTTCGTCAATATAATCAAAGTGTAGTACTTTGTATTTCTATGGCACACACATTATACCACATACTCTATGGATTATACACAAATCAGTTAAGTATTATAAATATTTTTTACTATTGCAATTTTTACATAGAAGTATGTACTATTTTCCCTCCATTTTACATAATAAGTATGTTTTATTACTATACTTAAATATATAATAATTTTTTGTTTTTCTTTTTGAGCCATTTGCTTGCCCTTAGCTTTGTTTTGGCGGTCTTCAGTGAGCAAATACAATTTCTTTTTTGAAAAGATTTTTCAATGTGAGTTACTAATTAAACACATTTTACATAATATTTATTCCAAATTAAAATTTGTTAAATTAATGTTGTCTTAGTGTTAAAATGGTTCAATGTTGGGTTCCGCTGTGTTCTCACATTTCCAACCGAGAAACTTGCAAATTTTTTAGATTTCCAGCTAATTATATTGAATGTAAAGTCTGGGCTAAATCAGTGAGGTAAAGTATATTTCAAATAGTTATATTCTGTTAAATTTTCACATGCATAATTTATTGATTTAAGTTAAACCTTATTTTTCATTATACAACTTTTTACATGACAGAAGAGCAGATACATATCCCACAAAAAATAACAAAATATGTAGTTGCCATTTTAAAGATGGTTTAAGAGAAAATGGACCTACTCAATTTGAATGGAATAAAAACTCATCCTTTTCATTTACATCTCCTGAAAAACATACCAAGTATGCAAAAGAAAATAATTAACTTTTAGATTCAATTCAATATTAACTATGTTTATTATTGTTTTTTTTTTTTAGTAATTGATTTGTATTATTATCATAGGCGCAAATCACCTGAAAATATTAGGGGGGCTTTTTAAGGAAACAGACCCAGCTCGTGAGGGGCTCCTCGCACACCCCAATAGTACCATACCATATACATTAATAAAATATAAATCTCACAAATATAACTAAACATTTTAAGTAAAACAAATTAATTTAATTTATTATGCAAATTTAATGAAAATGTAAGCCGGGATGTAAGCTTATTTTCAGCATACTTATTTAAAATAATTTCACTATTTAGAACTATAATATCTCTTTCAATGTGAATAACTGATAAATCTGATAGTCTTTAAATAAACTTAAATTAAATGAATTTTTAATAAACGTTATTGATGTTATTATGGAAATATTATGGTAGTAACATTATATAAGTTATAGGTAATTACGGGATTCGGGGTGCTATCATTAAAATTCAGGGTGCTAAGGGTTTCTTAGCACCCCTGCGATTTGTGCCTATGTTTATTATTGTATTTTATAACTGTTAGTTTTCTTTGGGATTAACCTTGCTAGTGATGCTAGTCCTTTACTTATATCAATCTAGTCTACTAATCATACAAGCTAACTATATTATTTTATTTGTTCTTTAATAAATAGTTGTGGATATTAATATAATGTGTGTGTATATGGCTCAAAATAAATTAAATATGTGATGTATATTAAAAAAATAAAATATCTGTTTATTTATATTTTATATAACCCTGTATTTATCTCAAATTAATACTTAACTAATTATAACTTATAAATCATATTTTTTTTTATCACTAATAAATGTGTTAGAGTAAAATGGAGTTAGAACAAAGTTGTATAAGCTCATTGTAAATGGATTAATAAGTAAGTATTATTAAATTATTTATGCTAACATAATTATATGATGCATGCATAATTGTATTTGTATTGTCAGCATAACAAAATATTATTAGAATTAAAAATGAAATTTTAAAATCAAGAATTTGTTTTTTCTATTATTATATTAAAGGCGTAAGAAGGTAGACAGTGCATCATGTTCACAGGAAAACGAAAGTTCAATTATTATTGAAAATAGTACAACAACTGAAACTTATGTTTTAACACCTACAAATAGTAAAAGTGATGAAGTTGAAAAGTATTTTCTTCATAAAGAAATTGAAGAATTAAAAAAAGAAAAATTGTTTCTTAAAAATAACCCTTTTGGTTACCACTCTATTGAATCTGATAACAAATTATTTGAGTTTTACTGTGGGATTAGTAAATCTATGTTTGACATAGTTGTTGATTTATGTTCAAAAGTTTCTTTTAAATATTATTATGATTGGAATGTTGAAAAATTTTGTTTAAAAGACCAAATCCTTATGACTCTTATAAAACTAAGATTGAATTTAGCTTATCCAGACTTAGCATTTAGATTTAAGACTAGTGAATCCACAGTAGGTAATATTATATTAACATTAATAAGTGTTCTTCATGAAATTTTATTTATTAACTTAATGAATACAGTACCTTCACAGAATAAGAACCAAAATTGCTTGCCAGAATGTTTCAATAATTTTCAAAATTGTAGAATAACATTAGATTGTACTGAAATTGCATGCGATATTCCTAAATCCCTTTTGGATCAAAAGCTCACATATAGTTCTTATAAGAATAAAAATACATTGAAAGGGCTTATTGGAGTGGCTCCTAATGGTGTTATTACTTATGCTAGTAAATTGTATCCTGGATCCACTTCTGATAAAAAAATTGTAGGCCACTGTGGAGTATTAAATATATTACAACCAGGTGATTTAGTGTTAGCTGATAAAGGCTTCCTAATTTCAGACTTAATGCCTCCAGAAACTTCCTTAAACATTCCCCCTTTTCTTATGTCTCCGCAATTCACTCCAAGTGAAGTTCTGAAAACAAAGAGCATAGCTAGAGCCAGAATTCATGTTGAAAGGGTGATGGTTAGGCTGAAGAAGTTTAAGATTTTAACACACATACCAAAAGCACTTTATACAAAGTCATCATTAGTATTTCAACTATGTGCTGCATTAGTAAATTTCCAAAATCCAATAATAAAAGAAGTTGAGCATCTGTTTGTAAATTATGACAAGACATAAAATATAAATTCCAATATTCAGTTTTTATTTGTTAAAAAAATTATAATATTATGATAATTATTTACTATGTATACAAATATTAATACAAATAAAATTTTTTTAAATTATATTATGTAATTATTTATTATTTATATTATATAAAGGATATAAATTTTATAATGAAAATGTAAGTTTTATTAATCCATTTGTTATAATAATTATATTATGAAATTAACCCAAGTATATTTATTATTTTTATAAGAAATTTCTAGAGTAAATCTATCTATTTCAAGTATATAAAATGTAATATATAGAAGGATATAAATTTTGTTATTTATAAAAATGAATTGTCTGTTAAAATATAAGGTATGAATTTATGATGGTAAAAATGTAATAAAATATCAATATTTGATGACCAATTTGGATCTTTATACATTTTGAAAGCAACTAAAGATTTAGTAGTCCATATAATAAGAATTGCAGATGACATTTTTGTCATGTGCATTTGACCTTGTATTTGGTCATAATATTCATGGTTGGAATTTAAAACGAAATCATTTTTATTTAAATCAAAGTTAATGATGTAATCTTTTGAATTTGAAAGCGCAATTTTTAAGTCTTCATTCCGAAATTTATAAGGACACTTAACTTCAATGCAATAAGAAGAGTTTTCATCGAAAAGCAAACCATCTGGACTGGCTCCCAAAAATCCAGATTCATGTAACCAAATGCCAGTTTTAGTCACAATAGAATTGTTAGCCTTCTCAAACTCTTCAATTGCAATGCTTTCATGTGTTTTCCCCCATTCAATCGATTTAACTCCATCCACAAAATATTTTCCTAAGAGACCTTTAAAAAGTGAATTAGGATATCGATTACTTTTGACTGATTTTATTATTTTATGAAAATTACTCGAAGTAAGACGAAATTTCCTAGAAAGACACCATTTTACATTTGCAGATTGCCCTATGGTCTTTGAAGCTATATCTTTAACCTGTTCAAAAGATAACTTACAAATGTCAGACAACATTTGAACACTATTTTTAGAATTTCTAAATTCTGAAGAATTAAGAACATTTTCCAATAGAAGAATATCACTTAAATCTTCAACTGGAGGTTCTGGACTTAAAAACCATGAAAATCCAACTGTTTGATTAGTTGCTGTTAATTTATCAAAGCATAAAGCTTTAAAATCAATATTGTGTGTATCAGTAACAGCTTTAAAATTATTTTCATACATATCATCAATAGTCAATACTTCATCATTTTCTCTTACAGATTTTTTTGACCAGCTGCATGATATATCAGTTACAGATATATTATTATGCCCATGTAAAAGAAGTGAAACCATATGATGGCATTTTGTCAAACCTGTCGGACATGTACAGCTGGCATGTTCAATATTTTTATCTTTGAAAAATATCTGTAAAGATTAAATATTACAATTATTTTAGGAATCATATTATGAATGATACAATCAAAATTACAAAGTTATTTACCTTAACATCATACAATTTATTTTTCATACTTGCGTGCACTTGACCACTAAGTATACCTACATCAGGTATGTAATTAAAACTTTTGACATACCTACATTCAAAAGAATTTTCTCCTTTAGAAAATATTTTTTTATCATCAATAAAATTAATGATGCACGAAAGCTTGATGATGCTGTTTGACGTCATATTTTTTAACTGGAAAAAAATCATTTTCCTACATTAGTAAATTGATTAATGAAGGATAATATATATTATACTCACTTAAAAAAGGAAATCTGACACTTTATTTGCTCACTAAAGACCGCCGAAATAAAGCTTAGGGCAAGCAAATGGCTCAAAAAGAAAAAACAACAAATTATTAAATATATAAGTATAGTAATAAAACATACTTATTATGTAAAATGGAGGGAAAATAGTACATACTTCTATGTAAAAATTGCAATAGTAAAAAATATTTATAATACTTAACTGATTTGTGTATAATCCATAGAGTATGTGGTATAATGTGTGTGCCATAGAAATACAAAGTACTACACTTTGATTATATTGACGAAAAAAGCGTTTAGCTTCATAATTTTGGTCGGTATATATGTATAAACTTGTAAAGAACATGTTTTTAATAGTTAGAACTTTAAGAAAAATATACAAATGCACTTAAAACCAATTTTTTTCAAGCATGTTTTTCGACCCATGTATTTCTTATGGAATGAACCGTGATAACAGCTTGTTTTGAACCGTCGGTCTTATCAATAGACAATTTGACGTCACTACTATTTGTGCCTATTGTCATTAGCTTACAAACGTAACGAACGTTACGAAACGTTGCGCATACCTGTAACTAAAAAGATAATGTACGTGCCCAATCAATGACGATAATTATTAGCGATGATGATTACACAGCGACCGACTCGATTCTATTGTCGTTCAATGTGATAAGTGATAAATTATTATTATTATTTATTATTCTCATTGAGTAATCTTTTTATTCAGTGTTTCTGATACTGTAGTACTATTTTCAATTACGTATTTATGTTTTACTTCTGTTGTTTCTTAAAAGTTTTAAACCATGGTTGTTTCACTATGTATTAGACCAAACGTATGGTAAATAATTGGGACTTCAACTAATCGCTGTCTGACCGTCAAAAAATAAAAATGGGTGTAAACATTGAAAATATTATGAATGAAATAAAATTTGATCAGAAGTTAATTAGTGTATTTGACACATACAACAAATACATCAACTATCGATTCGACTATCTCGTCAGAACAAGTATTACTCATACACCAGATGAACTCAATCACAACGTTGACTGTACGTATTGGTCATAAATCATAATCATTGAATTTAACGATTATTCATTATCTCTGCATTAAAATTTGAAAATATCTTTCTTTATGTATTAGGTACATATAAAACTAAATTTCAAGAATATTAATCATAATATTTATAAGGTTTCTTTTGTACTGTAATATAGTATGAAGTCAAATGTATAGGTTTCTTTTTATTCTATGCTTAATCAACATTTGTACGTATTTTAACAAGTATTTATAAAAGCTTATGAAAATGAAATACTCCAATTAAAACATATTGTCTAGCTATTTAAGATATGCCCATAGATAAATTAAAGTATTGTTTGAAATATATAATATCTAGACAACGTTTTTGAGCAATATGAATAATCATTAAAACTATATTTTTATTTACCGGTCTATTTAATTGAAGTCCAAATTCGGATTAGATAGGTATTATTTAAACAAAAAATAGTGTTTTAAGTTATTTTGTTGTAATTTTAATATATTATACTTGGGGACTTCTTTTACTCATATTATAAATTTTACCATACTCAATGATATTTTAAAAATATTTACATTAATTTTAAGTTATTACTCATTTATAGCATGAACTTATTCACACTGTTCTACAGTTAAATAATAACAATAATTTAATATGATGTGAATATACACTATTATAATAATTAAATATTAATAATAGGTACCTATAATAAATGCAATGTTTTCAGCAGAAATTAAATAAATCTACTGTAATACTATTAGTAAAATAAATTATATAATATATAGGAATACCCAGGGCCTCCGTTACAATTTGTGAGACCTTAGGCAATCTAAATTTCGACGCCTTATAATTTATTGTGGAATAAAAGCAATACAATCTCCGGTCAATAATACTATGAATACAAAAAGCAAGGATAGTGTTTAAGATTTAGTGAGTGTAGGCTTCTGAATTTACTTTGACTGTTTTATGTTTACCTGTGTCTATGACCAAAAGTGTTACTATAATATCTCTGTAAAATTAAATTCAACAGTTAATCACGCAATTTTTTTGCTTTAAATTATAATTTATAATTTTATTTTCAAACATTAATCAACAAACAATGTAAGTTTTTGTGAAACACTAGGTTTGTTTATCTTGTATTGATCTAATTGCATTAAATTTAGAAAATAAAGCATCATTTTATAATTTATTAGTAAATATATTATATTATATAAATAAAAAATTATTTTTGATTTAAAGTAAGGTTTAGTCCCTAATTAAAAAATTAAAATAAAATATGTCCTCTTTACCCAAATTACCGTTTTAATATTTAAAAATTTAACAAAAACTCATAATTTGATTTATATGCATTTGCATATTTGTTCTGGTTGATTGTATGATATGCTAAGTGAGCACAAAATTTGTTTCATGGCATAACAGTTAACAATTTAAAAATTGAAATTTTTTCAGTGTATATGTTTGCATATTTTGACAATTACCCATTTCTTTTTTTCTATTGAGGGCTTACATTACAATTTTAATTGCATATTTCGGTGTTTTTGAAATTGTTGTAATATAACTATTGTGATATATATAAAAAAATGCATTTATTGTTTCGATTAATATTAAAATAAATTAATAGATATACTTGCTGGCATAAACAGTTATAAACGATGAAATAAAAAATATATACCAAGATAAGGAAATATCAATTACAACCATTGACATCATTTCAGAATATAATGAAGAAAAATATTTATAGTAGGGTTCCATAATTTTAAATATTTTGTTTTAATTAAAATTTTCAAAAAATGCAATTTTTTTGCTAATTTTTTTATGCATATTATTTAAGACTTTTTAGCACTTCTTTGATTGTTTTTTATGCATATAAATCCACTCTCTACTCATTACCTAGGTAACTTACTTTTTTTTAATGAATTTAAATACCAGCACTTAATGTATAATAAATGAATAGTTATTATAGGGGTTATTATATTGTATTAGTGGTAGTATATAGAATTTTCTTGTGCATGAAATAATTATTATACTAACAATATTTATTAGTAATATTGGCTATTGTTATCTTGATTTGAAATTTCACAATGAGATGAAAAATGGTCTACAACTAGTTATTCCTACTTGGAGCGCGACCCCATTAATTTATTTGTACACTCCCAATCAGTCCCGGCACATGTATAAATATTGTACAACCTTCTTTTGGTGTATAATTTTCAATATTCTATTTCTAATTTTAGATTCTTAGTTTATTTTACAATGATGTGTGTTTTTTATATTTTTGTGTCTGTTTACACGATTAGTAGTCCAAATAATGCTTCAATTTTAAACTTCAGTATCTTGTTTGATGGGAAAGTGAATCTAGTTAGTACTTTTAGGAGTTCAAAATTTAAAATTTCCAATAGTATTCAAAAGCGCCAGGAAAAAAATAATAATAAATTAAAGAAAAACGGGAATTTCTACTCAAAATCAGTTTTTGACAATCTATTTTGGCTTTTGGTGTAACTCTAAAATAAATGATCTTAAATACATGACATTGCTACTGAATGCTACATATTATTATATACATAATTTAGTATTATCATTATTATGAACTAGAACCTAAGTAAATTGTGTTATAATTAGTCAAAACTGTGATTTTTTTCATGTAATAAATATTGATACATATTAATTAACACATTAAAAATATTATATTAAACTTAAACGTCTACTATAGTTGCTGCTGCATTGAATTTGTCAATTACAATTTCAGAATCTATTACTGAATTTCTTTCAGTTTGTAACATACCCTGTCAGCCTTTCTTGCCCCGTAGTTGTTTTAGATAAATTTTAAGCCTTTTAATGCAGGAACAACTTTGTTCGCATGATGCGGTGTTAGTAGGAATTGTCAAAAACCATTTGTTTTAAAATTAATTTTATAAATATTTTTAACTTTGGCACTTGTTAAACGTTATTAATATAGAAAATGTTGGCGGTACAATAATAATCCAATGCAAAATATCCAGGGGGTGGGAGTGCACCCCCGGAGATAACGCCCATGAATGCTCCCAATGACATTTTTAAAAACTTATATAAATGTCATTGGTTGTAAAAAGGTCAATTTGTTATTAATATTTGTTAGTTCAATTTTAATTGATTTAATATTATTTTTAGATTCTGAATTTGATCCAAGTCAACATATTTCACAAAATTATAATAATAGTAACAATAGTTTAGACAATATTATAAAAATGCGAGAAGAATTAAAAACTTTAACAAAAGAAGTAAATTCAAAAAGAAAAGAATTGAGCATGATAACTATTAATGAGGATGGATTAAAAAATAATATTAAACAATTAGAAGATATTATATCAATTAAGGTAAATATGTCATAATATTTATCATATTATTCACTATTAATTTTTATAAAACAAAATTGTGTATATTGCTAAAATTTAAATTATTTTAGAAAAATTACATCAGTGAAACTGCCAGATATGCAGAAGTCAGATGGAAAGCAAGGGAAAAAGTTGAAAAAGATTACAATAAAACAAACAAAAAATATATTAAAATTGTAAGTCAGTTAAACAAATCAAAAACCAATTCTGCTAATGGATCTAGTAAAGATAAGGATTACGGGGAGCGAACAAATAATAGGCGATTACGATATGAAGATAAAATTAAAAAGATGAATGATATTATAAAAATTGCCAGTGATAGTACAGAAAAGTATTTACATATAAATTGTAAATTTGTCTAAATAAATACCTATTATTGAATGTTTTGTTTTAGATTACAACAATATCAAATTGCATTACAAACTTCTAACGATCGCTTAAAAATATTTTATGACCAATTAAATAACCATATAAAAAATAAACAAGAAATTTCATTGTTTTTAATAAAAAATGAAAAGCGAATTAATCAATTGAAAATTAATTTATCAAATTTGGGGGTAAGTAAAATAACTTGCATTCTATATTTATTTAATCAATTAAAAAAATTGCTATACATTTTATGCAATTTCAGGTTTTAACAAGCATAGAAAGAATAAGAGTCCATACATCATCATCAAATTTAATTGAAAATGATAATTTAAAAAAAGAATTTTTGGATTTGCAAAATATGAGGAATGAAATTTTAAGTTCACGTCCTAGAGGAATGTTCAATCCCAAATATCAAAAGGTTTTTATTGAATAAAATTTAAGGTTTATTTATTTTATAAACATGAAAAATGTATGTAGTTTCATTTAATTAAATTAAAAAATAATCTTGTTGTAACTAATATTCAAGTATTATTAATGATTGGGTTTCAACATACCTTAATTTAAAACATAATATTTTATTCTCTTTTTTTTTTTTTTACGTATGGACCAATTTATAAACTTGAATAATTATTATTTTCCAAATTGTTCTTTTGTTTTCAAGGAAAATAATTTATTCAAAGAAGATATTCGAAAATATTTAGAAAATGATGAAGCAATTGATTCCATAGATTATTTAATTGAATTAAAAAATAATATGTGCAATAAAGATACAAATTTATTAAATTTTATTCAAACGGTAATAAATAACGTCATAATATAGTCCCTTGGTATTTAAAATAAAAATGATATAATATGGGTATTATTTGTTTACAGAATTCAAATGAAACAAAAATTTTTTGGAAGTGTCTGTCAACTTTAAATGTAGACGAACTAAAAAAGTTGTTGGTACATTATTTCATCAAAGTTGTAGATTTAAAAGAAACTGGACGAGAAAATGATGAAATAATATCTAAACTTGATGTGAGTATATGTATCAACAAATGTATATTTTATTTTTGTATGGAATGTAGCTAGTTTCTTTATAATAAATATACATTTAAAACAATTTTAGGCAACGAGTGATAGACTTAGGCATAATTATATGTCTTTAAATAATAATTTTCAAGAATTTCATTTGTCAATTGAAAAAAAATACATTGAATTAAAAAAACATTATCAAGCAAAACTTGATATGTTATTCCAACTAATTCAAGAAAAAAATAATGCTATTACAATGTTTAAAATGAGACAAAAAATTGTAGGACTTAAAAAGAAAATTATTGAATTGGAGAAGTTACAAACAGGTTAATATTATATCTATATGACCATATGCAATTATTAATTAACTAAATTATTTTAGTGAAACCAAAGGACACTCCAGTGATGCCAGAACCCCAAATAAGTTTAAATCTTCTAGAAGCATCAAAATCAGAATCTGAAACTATGTCATCTGCCAAAGTGATATACTACAAAAACAAATTGAAGATACAAAAAAATAAATCCAAATAAATTTACATTTTGTAGATGTTTTACAAAAAATATATTATATTCGTATAGGTAGACTTAAGCTTCAGTTTGTATTCAAACTTTAATTCCATTTCTGCCAGGGCCAAGACCTAAAATTTGGATCGTAATTATTAGGTTTATGAATAATTGTATTTAAATTATATTAGTGCATTACAAATTGTTAAATATATTTACAGGATGCCCAAGGGTTCTAATCTATCTTTAAGGGTGAGTTAAGAAATAAATATTTTTTAATCATAATTTTAGAAATATTAGTGATCATTAAGGCAGTGAAGTTGTTGTATTTGTATATTATTTGTAATTGCTTATATTTATTGCTGAGTGAGCTTAAAATATGTTTCGTTAATCTCTTCATTTAAACAAAAAAAATAATTATATCACATTAAATGCAATTTAGGCAATTTTTTTTAATTATACTGCAATTTCAACTATTTTTCATAATTGTTGTTTACATTTAAGATTATATAACTTTATATATAAAATAAAAGTAAGTAAACTTAGCAATGAATAAATTTCTATATTTTTTGTAATACTTATTATTTTATTAATATTTCTATAGAACGATAAGGTCGCTAAGAAAAATTAAAAAAATCATTTGTTGTGCAATGCACTAATATGTAAGCAACTATCATATTTTATTTTTATTATTATTAATTACTAGCTGATCCCATGCACTTCGTTGCCCGTTAAATGTATCAACTCTATATGACTCAAACTTTGTTCAATTCGTTATTTAATATTCGGTGTATGGTGTTCAAAATGTATCTTAACTTTTCCATTGCCCGGAACAAAAGTTTTGAATCGCAGCAGTACATTATCAAGTAGGCAATCTACCTGTGGTAGATCGCGGACCCAGTGCTGTTTGTACGTAATTGTATGATTTAACTCTAAAGTATCAAGTTATATCAAATTTGTCGTTTTTACTTAATTCCACCTACGGTTGATTAAAATAATCAATTTATATAATCCCATTAAATATAATTTATATTTAAAAAGTAAAGCAAATATATATATATTTTTTTATTATTATTATAATAGCTTAAAAACCATGGCAACCATTTATAAACAAAAATTTCCATCTGAAATTTCAAAATTCCCGTTTTAGTACCTCCCGGGGTTGATCCACTCCCTTTTAAAATTAGCCTATCTTTTAAGTTTGACCAAATTACACACATTTTAAAAATATCATCAAGATTGGTCCAGTAGTTTTTACGTGAAAATTAACAAAGTCACAAACTTTTGGGTTTATAATATTAGTAGAATTATTGATTATTATGTTTGATTTTATTTATTATAATTAAATTTTTTCTATGCAATTTTTAAATTTATAAGTGCAATTTTTAATATATTTTAATGCAATGATGCAATCAATTTAGGGAGCTTTTTAGTGCAATAACTTCATTACCCTAGTGATCATTGATCACTAACCTGTTTTTAATAAAATATCAGGCTTTGAAATTATTGTGTAATCTACTTTAAAGGGAATATAGATTCAAACTGGTTTGGACTTGAAAATGTATTTCAATTATTTAGCTTTAGAAATCCAAGAAAATATTATCCACTTTAGTGTATCCTATTAATAATAATAAAAAAAAATTCATGATTGTGCATTGACAGTTGTATTTGTGTTAAGTAATGCATTTGTAAACATGATAGGTTTTTCATTTTGTGCTCACATATCATCTAAAGAGTGGGATAAAGTGTTCAAAATATTTTTAAATGTACTTACCTGTCCTTACAGTAGTCTCTTAAAATTAACTATAATTGTAAGTATTAAATAAGTCTTATACCTTCATATAGTTCATATACAATTATAGTTACTGCTAAACCATTTGCCTTTTTCTGATATTTAATACATTTTATATACTTATTGACTATTGTACCATATATGGCTATCAATAAATATTTAAATAAATATATTTATACCTGAGAAATTAAATGAGTAAAGAAATATGCTTTTTAATATACATTATATATTTTAATACATATTCAACTTGTCAAGTTTTTCTAATATTTCTAAAATTTCCAAATTCTTACTGAAGTGTAAACATTTTTAAAAGTGCCACTCTTGTGATTTATATTTTATAGGTCTGTTTAGTATTCATTTACACTCAGTAAATGTCACGTTCGACGTTCCTCTTATGCCTTTGGTTTGTTGATTTTTAATCTTCAATAATTACAAACACTGATAATGAATAGTGTATTAATGTTGGAATTGGATATACATTTTATGATATGAAAAAAATGTTCTTATATTCTTAGTAAGACTGTATTATAAATTATAGTTATTCAAAACCAATAATTATAAATGTATTTGGACATTTGGTAAGGGCGGGTGGGGTAAGTGGCTAATTGAGTCCTATAAAATACAAAAGTATGATTGAACTAAGACTTACACTGTAATATATATGTATAATTTCTTTTAAATACAAAAAAATAAAGATTTACACTATTTTATACACAATTTATATAATAACATAATAAAAATATGGTCTGTTATCAAAATATATTAATTTTTTTTGGACCAACTTAATTTTTTTTTATTAGTCATTTTTATAAACTAAATCTTCAAAACTTAGGATTTGTTATTTTTATCGAGGTTACCACAATGTTTTAAAAAACCAATTGTTTTCCGGTTTTTTTGGTATAACTTCCGTAATAAAAAAGAACGACAATTTTTTCAAACATATTCAAATTCAGCTGCTTAAAACACACATTTTGAAAAAAATATAAATTGAAAAACGAGCTTGGGCCGTAAACTAGATTTATACCGAGAACTGAAATATGTGTTGCTTCTGGCTAAGTCTTAAATATTATTCCTCCTTTTTTCCATACTTGCCACTAAAATTATTATTCACTAATGTGCCTAAAATATTATTATTATTCTACTTTATAAAAATTGTAAGATGTCTCTCAGTGTATATTATGATAATTATTATTTTAATTGTAATTCAGTAATTGTCACCAAAATTATTATTTAACTTATTTACGCCTTATAAAATACAAAAATCTTATTATTATGTAAAAACACTATCTTATTATTTCTTATTTCATACTACATTAGTTAGCTTTACCTCTCTTTCCCCATTATTATTTTAAACTTTCGACGTTCATTCGTCTATGCGTGTACTAAAGCCTACGAACTCCACCGATGTAAATCTCCGGTGCGGCTCGTAAGTCACAAACTGAGTGTCCCCCTCGGTATGTTGGTGGTTTTTGGAGTCTTAAAAAATTCCGAACTCTCACAACTTCAACTGATAACAATATGACACTACACGTTCTCTTTAACTTGTATTATTCTTCACTATTCATCGTTGTGTTTGAATGTTAGAGCTTTGAGCGTAGGGTTATAGAATTACTACATTAAAATATTACTATAATGCTATTTAGTATATACTATTCTAATATCTTTTTTGTACAATTCAAGGTACTTTTTTATTAGGTTATATTTGTGTGTATGGCTTTCGTTAATATTTGTATAAGCTATAATATTAATATACAAGCTATTACTAAGGCTCCGCTGTCCGTCGTCCGTCCGTCACTAGGCTGTATCTCATAAACCATGAAAGTTGAAATTTTCAGATTATGTATTTCTGTTGCCGCTATAACAACAAATACTAAAAATCCTAGAATATATAATATAAGCAATGTTGCCAACATGTTCATAGCTGATGATGGTACGGAACCCTTCGTGCTCGAGTCGGACTCGCACTTGGGTCGGTTTTTTTTCTTTTACATTTGATGTTTTAATTTGGGCAATAGATTTTGTAACTTGAACCAATACAAAAATGTTTATATATTATAAATATATTTTTTTTTTGAAGATCAAATAATTGAAGATTTATTATAATTTGCTATATTATTTTCATTTAAAACTAATTCAAAGACTGAATAAAAATTACTCAACATTACACAATTCCCAAAATTCCAATACAAAAATATCTTAAAGGAAGTTCTCAAGTACCAACAAATATAAACATTGTAACTGGTCACTTGCGTTTTTAATGTATAAATATAATGTTACTACCTATTATAAGTTGGAATATACCCGAAAAACTAAATTATACGAAATTTCAGGTTTCAATTAACTAGTTGAGAATATATAATTATTTTATAATAATTAGTATGAATCATAATAGGTACTCTATATTATATACATTCAATTTTAATAATTGTTGTTTGAAAAATAAATTACATTTATATCACTAGGTACTAGATTTTGTGTATTTTAAATAATTACAATACCGTGTAAAAAAATTATTTAAATTGTTGTCTTTATCACTACTGTCAGCGTCTCTTGTGGTACAAGTAAGGCTTTGACGTCATCAGACGTACAAAAATATTGTAAAGGAAGTACTCGAGTACCAAAAAACATAAACATTGTTTTCGGTCACTTGCGTTTTCAATGTATAAAAATATTATTGTCCAAATATTACCCTATTATTAATATAGATATTTTTGAAGTATTTGCTAGAGTTACTGTAATACTTTTTATTTGAGTTTATCCTATTGGTAATTGGTATTATAATATTTATATGAAAACATTTTTTTTTAGGATCTGAATGTGAACACTTGGTTCTATACTTCTATCCATGATGAAAAAGCTATATATGGCAGAGATAAATTTATCTATATAACATTTTAAAATTTTTTTATATTATAAATTATAATTAATGTTAATTAGGTATTTTACATTTTCCAATTTCAAAATAGTTATTTTAACTATTACTTATAATATGTATTAGTATTATAATTTATAATTTATAAATATACCTATATATATTTGTCACTCTTAAATCATTAAATATATCAAGTTCATATTTTAAATGTTCTTAGTAAATAGTAATTAACTAATAAACGTTTCTATGTATCAGCGTTGTATTCGCTAACCATCAACAGGATACCCACATTCTGCTTAAAATTTGAAATGATCACAAAATAAAATTATTATTGATCAATTATTAATAATAAGTATAATAATA